GCCGAGCAGTGACTGCCCCCACACCGCGGGGAGGAGGAAGAGGAGAAGGAGGAGGAGGAGGAGGCGGAGGAGGAGAAGGAGGAGGAGGAGGGGACTAAGGGTACTGATGATGCGGGGTGGGTCTGCACTCCCTGGCGCCGAGCCTGCGGGAGGAAAATGGCCTATGCAATCCTCCTTGTCCCATCCGCGAAGTTCTCCCCCCCGACGCCGCCGGTCACTCTCGGGGTACTCCAAATCGTGAAGCTTGGACCTCTGCTGGATGGCGAGAGAAGGATCGCCAGAACGGCAGGGGATCGGCGGCGGGCCAACCGCCACCGAGGCAGACCCTTCCACAACCTCGCAATGAGCGGGCGCCTCCGCAGCCCCTTCACCCACCGAGCAACTAACCACTCCCAGGTCTCTCAATAAGCGTGGGGGGGGATCGCATGGGGGGACGGGAAACCGCTGTCCTTCGGGGGGCGTGGGGAGGTTGGGGAGCGAGAGGGGGTGGGTTTGGGGCGCGTTGGGGGGGCGGGCAAGGGGCGTCGGACAGGTTGGCACAAGGGGAGTGCTTATTGAAAGATCTGGAATAAACAGAGCACTTCAAAGTGCTTTGTTGGCATCCGTGGGTCCGATCGGGCTGCTCACAGTGGCATTGCCCTAGCTGTGGCCTGGGAGCACACCTCGCCTGAGTCTCGACCTCCGAGTCTTCTAACCTGCGTGCTCGGCTCCCTTGCAAGCCTGAGCCCCCTTCAAGCATACTGATGCACCGAGGTTCCAAATCGCTTGCAGAAGAACAAAGTATCAAGCCTTGCCCGTCCTCCGCCTGGAGGAGGAGGAGGAGGAGGAGGAGGAGGAGGAGGAGGAGGAAGAAGAGGAACCCCTCGTTTCAGGGGCCACGGACAGGTATGTGCGATCCAGCTTTTAGAATATGCGACGGTGATGAAGGCGCCCAGCGTCACGATGTAAGTTGGCACTGCCAGCACCCACCACTTGTCGGGATAATACGTGATTCCCCAGGAGACAAGCACGTCATCTGGAACGCTCACCCACACCAGCCATCCCGCAAGGGCAACCAGAGATGCCAGGAAGCTTGAGAAGCTGTACACCTCGGTGGCAAGTCTGTCGTCTCCCATTGGCGCTGGAAGGAATCCGCCGGCCATCCGTCGGAGGCACTGGGCTTAGGTCGGGCGTGTCCTCCTACAGGCGAAGTTTGGACGAAAACATCGAACATGTTTTTTTTTTAAAAAAAAAAATCAAAGCAGCATTTAAAACAACAACACACACACACGCAAAAAAAAATAGATCGTCCCAGACTCTTTGTGACACCTATGTCTTGCATCTGCCTCCTGTAGAGGCCCACGCCCCACTGCAGACGATGGGGGGCCACGGCATGGGACCTCTCCCTCCCCCCGCCCGCCGCCTCGCGCTGCGCGGGCCGCGCTCCTCCTGGCTGCCATCCGGGGCGAGCCCCGGCCACGAGCAGGGTTCCCCGACTCGGGAGCGGCCAGGAGGAGGAGGAGGAAGAGGAGGAGGCGGAGGAGGAGGAGGAGGAGGAAGAGGAGGAGGAGGCGGAGGAGGAGGAGGAGGAGGGGATGTCCAAGAGGGGGGGGGGGTGCAAATCATGACTGGCGGCGTGTGCGCGGCCTAGCGCGGGGGCCAGGGACGCAGTGAGATGAGGAGGGGCGCCAGGAAATCTGGGGAAACATCATGGCCCACGCCAGTCCCCCTAGTCACGGATGAACCTGGCCCACGCCATGAAATCTGGGGAAATATCATGGCCCACGCCATGAAATCTGGGCGGATACCTGGATGCTATCCCCCCCCCTAGTCATCACCCCCTGTTTTCCCCGCCCCCGACCGACCCAGACCTGAAGGCGTGGCCCGGAGGGCAGGGCGCCTCTGGAGCCCAAGGAGTGGCCCTTCCGCCTGGGCCTCGACTCGACAACGTCCGTTGGGAGGGCCGCCCCCCCTCCCTTCCCCCTCTTGATGGGCCAGTTTTCCACCACCACCACCATAAGCTGGAGGGGGGGAAGGAGGAGGAGGAGGAGGAGGAGGAGGAGGAGGAGGTGGAGGACCCCCTGCCCCTCCAACTTCTGATGGTGGTGGTGGGAAGCAGGCCCATCACCTCTGGTGAAGATACGCGGGCCGCCGCATTCCTGAAATGGCTAGACCGCAGCAAGCTCCCAGGCAGCCCCGGCGCGAACCGTGGCGCCTCTGGCCCTCCCCTCCCCCTGGTGGCGGCTGTTACCGCGAGAGGGCGGCCTGATAATCAACAGGCGCTTGCTCCCCAGAGGTTCCCCGGGGTCCCCAGAAGTCCAGAGCCCAGAGAGAAAAACAAGCCCAACAAAAACGAGTCGCGCATTTGACGGTCCCAGGGCCTGGCGGGGGCCCCCCCGAGGCCGAGAGCAGCGGAAAAAACCTCCGTCCTGCTCTGCTCCTTACGCTTACGTAGGTCGGGCATGTCCTCCTACAGGCGGATTGCGGAAGAAGAGTGAGAAAGAGTTCAAGAATAATCAAACATAGTCAAACAGTGTAGAAGAAAAGGTCCCCATATTACTCTTGGACTATTTCTGAGCATGCCTCCTGAAGAGGGACATTCCCGACTTAACCCTACAGTGGAGGCCTGGGCCCCAAGAAACCTTCCAAAAGAAACCCAACCCTGAGACCACAAGACGTCCATGGCTTTCGGGTGTGGGAGCAGCACGCTCTCGACCGCAAAACCATCGAAGCCTAAGAAGGCCAGGACACCCTGGAGGCGAGCAGGGTGCTTCTTGGCATGGGTCTCCCCTGCAGGACCGCCCGGCCTGGCCAGGATCCCTGCAGGCGTCCAGCTGGAGCCCTCCGAGGGGGGGAGGGGCGGCCGGAGGAGCAGGACGAGGGTCGGGAGGTGCCCGAGGTGTGCGCCAGGCCGCCTGGTCGGCCAGGAAAACACACACAGACACACACAGACATGCACAGACACACACACACACACACACACACACACACACACACACACACACACACGCACACACACACACAGACAGACACACACACACACACACACGCACACGCACACGCACACGCACACGCACACACGTGCACACACATAGTTGGATTCACGTGTGTTGCATGCGGGAGGCCACTACTCTTAAGTCGGGCACGTCCCCCTACAGGGGCATGTTCGACGAAAAACAAAACACACCCCAAACATATGCCAATATGGTTAAACAAAAAACTTAATACAAAAGAAAAAACCTATATCTATGTATATATCTATATATTTAAAAATATTATATATATATATATATATATATATATTTTTAAAAAAAAAAAAACAAACAAAAAAAAAAAAAAAAAAAAAAAACGCCCCCGACTATTGACTATCTGTTTGAGCACTCCTCCCTGTGGAGGGACATGCCTGACGTGCCCTGGCTGACCCCCCGTTTGCACTGACCCCCGTCTCTTAGGCCCCGACTCCGCTGCACGTGGGAGGCCCCGGGACCCGCTGCCCCGCGGGCGCGGCGGCCTCCCGGGACGCTGTCTCTCTCCCGAGGGGGCAGAGGCGCGCCGCCCGCGGGCGCGCAGGCCGAGAGGCGGTGCTGCAGAGGGCACGGCCGTGCGTGCGCGGCCTGCCCATCCTGGTCCGCGTCGACGCTCCTCGGCCTCGGCCTCGTCGTCGTCGTCGTCGTCGTCGTCGTCGTCGTCCTCGTCGTCGTCGTCGTCGTCGTCGTCCTCGTCCTCGTCCTCGTCGTCGTCGTCCTCGTCCTCGTCCTCCTCCTCGTCCTCGTCCTCGTCCTCGTCCTCGTCCTCCTCCTCCTCCTCCTCCTCCTTGACCTCCTCCTCCTCCTCCTCCTCCTCCTCCTCCTCGCCCCCTCTGTAGAAACAGCGTAGAGCCTGATTGGGAATCCGGCGGCAGGAGGCGGCAAGCCTGGCCATCTCGAGCAGCACAGCGGCGATACCGCGCGACGAGGGCGAAGCGCGGCTCCCCTTCCGCGGGCATTGCGCGAGGAGCGCCAGGAAACCCACGCCAGTCCTGTCTCCTCGAACGACGCATGTGTTTTGCGACCTGGGCCCCTGGGGACCTCGACCTCTTCCCAAGCAACGGCGTGCCATCCTGAGCTGATGCTTCGCGGTCCAGGGGCCTGGAAACGGCCTCCCGGGCTTGAAAACGCAGAGCAACGGGCCGTGGCGCGATGTTGGTGGGGCGACGACCAGATCTGAGGGTTCAAGCATCGTGACAAGATACGATAGACGCGTTGTCTTGGCGACGTCGGCGTTCCCGAACTCTTCCCAACCATCCTGTGGCGTCGGGTCCTCGTCTTGAATTAGCAGCCCCCCGCGTCCACTCCTCCCGCTCTCCCCTCCCTCCCGCCTCTTCTCTCCGCGTACCCATTTCGGCACGCACGCACACGCACACGCACACGCACACTCACACGCACACGCACACGCACACACGCACACACGCACACACGCACACACGCACACACGCACACACGCACACACGCACACACGCACACACGCACGCGCACGCACGCTCGGTGGCCATGTAAAGGCTGTGATGCCCCCAGAGGGTGTGGCCGCATGCGGTCCCCCCGCCAGTGGCCGCACAGGGAGCTCAACCGACGCCCCTACGGGGTGTGGCCGCATGTGGCCTCCCCGCCCATTCCCGCACGCTCCTCGCGCAATCTGTTGCCCCACAAAGAACTCCACCGAAACCCACAGGGGGTTTGCGGCCACGTGCCCTCGCCCCGCCCACTGCGGCAAGCCCCTCGCGCTCGGTGGCATCACAGGCAGCTCCACCGAAGCCCCCCTGGGGGGTGCGGCCGCGTGCGGTCCCCCGCAGCGTCCGGCACACTCCTCACGCGTTCCCTGGCCCATGCGGCATCTCAGCGGCAGGGTTCGCTCAGCGCCTCCCCGCCCCTGCCCGGCACGCCCCTCGAAAGTTCAGTGGCCCAGCGGCAGGGCTCGCATGGCATTCTACCGCCCACTTTGACACGCCGCGCACACGCTTCGTGGCCCCATCGGGAGCTCCACCGAAGGGCCCGCCCACTTCGGCACACCCCTCGGACTGGGGAGTCCGTCGAGGTCTTGCCGCGCCGCCGCCCGTTGCCGCCCGTTGCCGCCGTCCGTCGAGGTTGCACCGCATAGCTTGCTCACCACACAGCTTGTTCACCACACAGCTTGCACCGAGCAGACTGCATCACACAGCTTGCACATCCACAGCGCAATACCTTTACTGTTGGGTCGGGCACGTCTTCCTACAGGCGGGCTCTGGGAGACAAAGTGTTTGTTGTTGTGGTGTTTCTCTGGGAAAATATAAGAATGATCAAACTTTCTTCGGGACAAATGATAAAAATGATCACGCAGAGTCACAAGAGCACGAACAGGTGTCACCAGACAGACTCTGTTCTCCTGTTCTCATACACTCCTCCTGTAGAGAGGGACCTGTCCGACGCAGCCTTCCTGTTTTGGGGGCCCACGCTGGCACACAGCTTTGTTCCAGCTGCCGCGCTCTGCAGCGGGCCACCCCGCCGCTCCACGCCGCCCGTGCACCGCCGGCGGCCACGGCTGCAGCGCCCGCCAGGCGGCGGCGGCCACTCGCCCTCTCACCGCGCCGCGCGCGCGGGCGGAGCCCGCTCGCCCCGGAGCCCCCTCCGCCGCTGGCAGGCCTTCGGGAGCCCGAGGGCCCTGGGATCGGCTGTTGAGTGTCATCTTGGCAGGTGCTGTCGGTTTTCTTAACTAAACTCGAGCTGATCATACGCGCTAGTATCAAGTATCTAGATGCTCGAACTTGGCTCTGCGCCACTCCGTGGTTCAGAGATGGTGCCCTGAGGGATGGGGGCCCAAGGAAGGGAAGGCAAGCGTTTCTCTTACTCGGCGTTGCGACCTTGGGGGGAAAGGGTGGCGGGGAGGGGGGGGGGTCTGGCCCGGGACCTCTGCAGAATGCGCCTGTTTGCAATAGTGCGCCCCATAGGAGAGACTCCACCTGCTCGAAACAGGCGCCAAAAAAACAGCCAAGATCCAGTCCATTGGGGAGGGAGGGGAGGGGGGATTGGAGGCCCGCGCCGATCGGCAAAACAGTAAATAAAGAAACGATCACAAGGGATCCAAGGGAGGATTTACGTTGTTTGGGGCACCTCGTCCTCTTGAGCAGGGACCGGCCGTCCCGGCATACCTATAGGCCTACCACGACATGTTCTTAGAGCACAAAAATGTTCGAATACCAAAAACAAGGTTCGTAGGACATATACACGATGTGTTAAAACAAGACTGCCCCAGCCACAAATGTTCTAAGAACATGTCGCGCAGACCACAAAAGGTCCTTAGAACATTATTTGGTAGGCCTATAAGCAAACTAGGACGCTTCGCCACTGCTTGATCCTTAGGACTCCATCCCTCAGGACCCCATCTTTGGACCCCTGAGCCACGGCCTCCACCCTGGCTCTGGCCACCGGCACCCACCGTCCCGCCTCGGGCGTTACTCCGCGGGGGGGGGAGCGAGGAGGGTACGACGAAGCCAGCCAAGGCAGGGGCAAAATCGGACAGGGACACGTCGGGAATCTCTGAGATCCAGCGGTTCTGTAGGATGTCTCCTGGTTGCGGTTGCGGTTGCGCGGGCGGGTTGAAATGTGTCGCCTGATTGCTGTTGAGGTTGCATGCGTGGGCGGGTTGAAATCTGCCGCCGGGTTGCGGTTGCAGTTGCGGCTGCGCGGCCGGGTTGAAATTGCGCGGCTGGGTTGAAATTTGTCGCCGGGTTGCGGCTGCGGTTGCGGCTGCGCGGCCGGGTTGAAATGTGTCGCCTGGTTGCGGTTTCGGTTGCGCTGCCGGCTTGAAATGTGGTGCCTGGTTGCGGTTGCGGTTGCGCGCGCGGGCGCGTTGAAATGTGTCGACGGGTTGCGGTTGCGGTTTCGGTTTCGCTGGCGGGTTGAAATCTGTCGCCTGGTTGCGGTTGCGGCTGCGGTTGCGCGGACGGGTTGAAATGTGTCGCTTGGTTGCGGTTGCGGTGTCGGCTGCGCGGGCGGGTTGAAATGTGCCGTTTGGTTGCGGTTGCGGGTGCGGTTGCGCGGGCGGGTTGGAATGCGCCGCCTGGTTGCGGTTGCGGTTGCGGTTGCGCGGGCGGTTTGAAATGTGTCGGCTGGTTGCGGTTGCGGCTGCGCGGGCGGGATGACATGTCGCTTGGTTGCGGTTGCGGTTGCGGTTGCGCGGGCGGGTTGAAATGTGTCGCTGGGTTGTGGTTGCGGCTGCGGCTGCGCGGCCGGGTTGAAATGTGTCGCCTGGTTGCGGTTTTTCGCTTCCGCGGGCGGTTTGAAATGTGTTGTCAGACGTGCTCTCCTAAAGTTCAGTCAGTCAGTCAGTCAGTCAGTCAGTCAGTCACCAGCGGGCACGGAATTTCACCCGGCTCCGCCGGGAAAAAGAGAGCGCTCCGCTCTCGACAGACCAGGGGGGGGGGCGCAACGGGAGACTGGAACGATGTACATACGGAGTGGCGGACAACCACCTGTCTCTCTTTTGGGTGACTCAAAAGGGGGTCCAGCTGAAAGGGGGTGGTGCGATGGATTTGGGGCAATTGCATTGCAAATGCATTGCGCCAGAGAACTGTATTACATGGTATTGCAAGTGATGTACTGCACGCGAAAAGACAGCAATACCTTTTGCCCCCCAGAATGTACTGCACGCCCCAGATGTACTGCAGCCCTACAGATCTGTTGCACCAGATCTATTATTGCACCACCCCTTTGTCGCTGGACCCCCTTTTGTCGGGGGCGCGCAAACATGGATTAGCGATCCATGGATTTGGCGCGCGGTCGCCAAATCCATGGATCGGGGGAGGTGCATGGATCGGGGGAGGTGCCCTCCCCAAAATGCGGCCGGTGCCGCCTCGCTCGGCGGGGGATTCCGCGATGCCCCTTGGAAACGGGACCCGTCGATAATCCACGCCCCCTTGATCCATGTTTGCGATCGCCTGATTTTGGGTCATCCCGATCTCGGGGGCGGCCAAGAGGGCGGCGTCCAAGATGGGGGGGGTGCAAATCATGGCCGGCGGCATGTGAGCGGCTCTGGAGGGGGGGGGGCCAGGGACGTAAGGGAATAAGAAGAGGCGCCATGAAATCTGGGAAAATATCATGGCCCCCGCCATGATATCCACCCCCTCCCCTAGTCATCACACCCCTCTTGGCCGCCCCGAGGTGGGTGGGTGGAGGAGGAGGTGGAGGAGGACAAGGAGGAGGAAGAGAAGCAGGGGGGGGAGGACAAGGAGGACAGGGAGGAGGAGAAGGATGAGGAGGAGGAGAGGAGGAGGAGGAGGAATGGATGCCTTCCTCCTCCTCCTCCTCCTCCTCCTCCTCCTCCTCCTCCTCCTCCTCCTCCTCCTCCTCCTCCTCCTCCCCTTCTGGAACGGGTTGGGCCCGCCCCGCCCCCGACGATCTCTCTCGCTCTCTCTCTCTCTCTCTCTCTCTACCTGCCCTCGCCCCCCCATCGGGGCACCGAGCGCGCGCGCGCGGCCGCGGCCTGGGCGGCCCGCTCACGGCGGCGAGACGCGCCCCGGGCCGCGCTCTCTCCGAGCGCCTCGCGCGCGCGCGGCCGCGCCCGGGGGGGCCCGAGCTCGACCCGCGGGGACTCAGCAACGTGCAAAAGGGGGTAGGGGGAGGGGGGAAGGCTTCTTAGAAGCACCCTGCTTCTTAGAAGGCCTCGGCCTTACGTCTATGGAGAAGGCCCGCGCCTTCTAAGCAGCAGGGTGCTTCTAAGAAGCCTTCCCCCCTCCCCCTACCCCCTTTTGCGCGCCGCCAGGGGACGCCGACGCTGACGAACGAACGACTGGGGGGCGAGGGTCGATGCGCAAAGCAGGTCCTGGTCGCGACGGCCCTGAGCCTGACGAACGATCGATCGGGGGTCGAGGGTCGCTGCGCAAGGCGGGTCCTGTCCGAGCTCCGGCTCCAATCCCGGAGCCGTTACTGTGCCGTTTCCCGTCGCCGGAGGCGCAAAGTGGGCTAGATCGCCCCTGCCGACGACGAGTGGGCACCTGGGGGTCGAGGGTCGATGCGCAAGGCATTTTCTGGTCGCGACGGCCCTGAGCCTGACGAACGATCGATGGGGGGTCGAGGGTCGATGCGCAAGGCAGGTTCGGGTCGCGACGACTCTGGCGTGGAGGATCGTGGACCCGGGGTGATTCACCGAAACGAGCACTGACCCTTTGGGAGGCGATCTAAGTTAGGAGGGC